CCCCCCCCCCGCCCCCCGCCCCCCCCCCCCCCCCCCCCCCCCCCCCCCCCCCCCCCCCCCGCCCCCCGCCGAAAGGGCAGAGATGCCGAGGATGACCAAGGCATAGCGAAGCGCACATGGCACTTGGAAGAAAAAGCCATTGCTAAAGACCTAAGTAATAGGACCATTAATTCTAGCAGACAGCTCGAGAACAAGATGGACAGGCGGGCGGACAGATGAGATGGATCGCAAAAGTTCCCAAAAGCTGCGTACGGTCTATCTGCCCACCACGACTACGACGTTGGCTTGCAACGACAACATAACATGTCGTGGTGGTTGAAAACAATGATGTGACGATACCTACACCCATATCTTCTCTCCATAATATACATAGGTACCTAATGCGTGTCTACTTACTACTACTGTATGTACTATTAGTATATATAGCACCTGCCTGCTTCTTTACTTACTTACATATGTACTTACCTACCTACAGTACTTACTTATGTATTGTATGTATCTACCTAGGTAAAGTAAGTACCTAGCATACCTCCACGGAGCGGAGATGAGGCAGCGACGCTACCTGCCCAACACATTTCAACATTGAACATTGGAGGGACAATATTCCGGTACATATTCTGGTACATATTCCGGAAATGCATGTACAGCCTCCCCCCCAAGGCGGGCCCGCACAGTGCGTTGCGCCAAGATGGGGCGCTGGCTCAGTTCTGGGGTGATTTGGCAGGGATAGTAGCTTGGCGGCGAGCAACGGACCTCTTTCATTGGCTGTGGCCGTCCCGACAGAATGGTAACCAATGATATATTGCGAAGCCATGATTATCTTACCACTTTCCCCAAAAGCATTTGTCATGGCCGTCGACAGATGCGCACTCGGCCCTCTCCCCCTTCTTCATCTGCCTCTGATCTGCCCTTGGTCGTCTCCGTCGCCTTGTTCGAGCTAGACTAGGGACGCAAGCCAGTCCGCAGCCTGCCTAAGCCAGTACCTACTACTGTATGTACTATAGCCTGCTCTAGTATGACATCGTCAAAGCGGAAACAAGCCCGGCCGCTAGATACTGCTGGCGACCGCGACGAGCAGCGCGGCAGAGTCAGGTTGATGCCCGCAAGCGTCGGCGCGAGATTGACTGATCGATGGCATCCACTCAAAAGAGGGTCTCTGACGGGTGAATATGGCCATAGTTGGCAGTAGGGCTGCGCAAGTTAGTGCGCTCCACGATACATTATATACCATGTGTGTATACGATGTAGGTATCCCCCCATCCATGTATCCAATCTACCTCGGTACATACCTACTTATTTACATACATAGGTAGTACACGACAAGTACCGCAACCGCGAGCGTCCGAGAGCCCATCCTCCTCCCCCCTCGAGTCTATTTTTCTCTCGCTTGAGAGAAATGTGCCGCACTGATATCTGTGTATATACGTGTGATAAGGTAGGGATGGTGAGATGAACGATTCACCACGCCTCCTTAAGAGAAGTTCTAATGTTACGTGTGACTGGCTTCCACCACCCGATATATTGAATCCATGTCTATCAAGCTATAGCATCATCCACCATGATAACTGGCCACTGGCGCGGAATTACGCGCCGAGACACAGAGAATTACCTCATGAATGATATCACACAATTACGGTACCGGTATAACATAAAGTACTTAGGTATCCAGCCAGGCAAGTACATAGTAGACCTACAAGGGCACTGCTTCCTCTCTTGCTATCACTGTGAATACTAATCGCTAGAATTCTCCTACCTCAATGGCGGGTTGTATCGGTCCGCAATGGAACTGTCTGGCGTTTTTTTTTGGTTTTTTTTTGTTTTGTTTTTTTGTACTTTCTTCATGTTTCATGGTAGTGGGATATTGATAGGCGGCACTGGTCTCAGCTCTTTTGCTATTATCCAGGACCCCAAATCATAATCGCAAATGCATTGCTGAAGTTACAGCTGCTTACACTTACTCTTGGGTTGTATGGTAAGAAGACAATGCCATTATTACTGGGTCCTCTTGAACCCAGAGGCCTGGGACTTGATTCCAGACGACGCACGAACACAACACTCGTACCATGAGAGCCGCTCTATTGACTCTGCAGCCAACAGTCCACTACCAAGGTTGCTAGCTAGGCACCTTTGCTCCCCCATGATATCTCCAGGCTCTGTGGTCGCTTAACATGCCTCTCGGGGCAAATCCAGTAGGATTTTCTTCCTCCTTTTACTCATAGCCAGCGTTGTATCCACCCGTTTCAGCACCACTCAAAACCCACGGGTGTGGATGAGGGGGCGTGAGAATCTGTTGTTACTACCAATCTGTACTTTTTGGAAAGGTGATACTACTTTGTTGACAGCCCTACGAGCCTAGCCTTACCAGACATGCACGCAAGCGCCCAACAGCAGATCTAGATATCTTCTCCCTGTTCTGTCCACTGGTTTGTACTTGATGCAGTGGTTCTTTTTTTAGTGCGGCGGGTTTTTCTGTTCGCCCATTTTCCCCAAGAATATGTGCCAGACTGGGGACTAGGGAGGTGACCAAGCATACCGATAGCCGATCTGTGCGCCTCGATGATTCATGAAACTCCTGTGCCATAATCCCCTTGCTTCCTGTGCCTC